ACGATTACGCACCGAATTTAACTGACAAAAGGTGTAGTCTGGGGTGTGACGCTCTGACCCGATCCGTACGTCTGGTCCGCCGCACCGCGCCGGTCAGTGGCGCGGGGCCTCTGGTCTCTGTGCACTGCCGATATGTTATACAGTGTTAAAAATAGATGTGGGAATGGCCGGATATTCTAGACTTTGCTCAATGCTATAGAAGTGAAACACTGGATGTTTTCAATTGATAGATAGAGCCACCTTGAGTTCGACTTCAGGACTATATGGTAGGCATTTCATAAAGGTTTGCGGCATTGGTCGTGCTAGGTTGTCCCGTTGCACTGCACGATAACATCGGCGGCATTTACGTGTAACTGCGGAAATCGGACAGTGCCACAGATCCGGCATTTGGACTTAGCAGACACGATAGCTTCTGGACATTCATTATATTATTTATCCTTCCCATACTCTCTCCCTCTCTCATTTTTGTCTCCCATCTTTCACAAAGTCTTTTCCCTTCCGCTGTCTTTCTGTTGTTTGTTGCCTTTGCTTTTAATTCGATAAGTGGCAATTTTGTCCATTCCCGTCCAGCCCTGCCGCTCCCGCCCAATTTCGATTGACTCTTTATACTATAGCGCTGAAGATATCGTGTCTTTTTCGTTTCATTTAGCCCAGCATCCAGCTGATGTCCCACTGATTTCTTCGGTCCCTCTGTGTCCTGTGGACGACCTTCCCATCTCATCGGCTCTGCTCGTCGCCCGCTCCCTTCAATCCCCACATCATTGCGGCCTCTCAGACTGCAGTCGCTAGTCGCCGGGAGCCAAGTGGCGGCCGTCATGAAGACGTATGATGAGTCGCGTCACAGCATCACTGGCACAAGTGTCTCGCTCATGTGCACTGCACCATGGAGCCCTGTCGGACGAGGAGTCGGGGGATGGCTGCAGAAATAGCAGATTGGTAGGCTGAACAGAACACTTATCGTTTTAGAGGCGAGCTCAAAGTGGGCTCGGCCTTTGCTGCAGTTGGATAGGGAATTGGCACTGGGTAGGGACGGTAATAACCGGAAAAAACTACGGTCATTGATTCTTAATTGAGTAACGTTATATGTAACAAAAAAAAAACAGTTCACAAGTCCGATTTGACTGCAGCTATGACAAAGTGGTGCATCAAGTAATGTTTGTAAAGCTGTGGTGATTACCTACATATGGTCAGGTGGAGCTTTCGAGTGGGCTTGGCCTTCGGTATCAAGGTCAGCAATCACCACTGTATCTCCTTGTCATGTAACTCACGCCCGGCTGCCGGCGCAGCAGCCGTCCGTCCATGGGTCCGTCACGCCGCGTTACGTGACGTTTGCCGTGTCACGCCCGTCACGGAGCTCGTGCCCGGCGAGCTCGGCTCGGCTCTCGGTCCTTGGTATATTGGTGTGGCCAGCTCCGGCCCAACCGCACGATTTTCCTCCTACGTATCAGGAGAAATTGGCCGGGTGACTGGCGGAGGTCTGGATCGGGCCGATAGGGATCAAAAGCGGCATGGCTTAGCGGAAATGTGGACCGTAATGTCCGGCTGCTTTGTGTGATTTCTTTGCTGATTTCTCGAGGTAACGGACGCCTATTCCACGCCCATTGTGAGAACCTTGGGGGCTACTTAAATTATTACTTTCAATGTTCCCACTCAATTATTGATGCAACCTTGTAAGGTAGTTTCTGGCATAGACCTCTCTGTATACCTCGGTGTACAGAGGTCTATGTTTCTGGTAATATCAATTTGTTTTTGCCAATGGAAAAAGGCTAATAATGTGCACACTGAGAAATGCAGTAGGTCAGTGTCAGATGTGTGGTGCCTAAATTATCCCAATGTCCGATCCGTTCCTTTCCCCCCGCGGCCGTCTGTGCGAGTAGCAGCCAATATGACTGGTGGGGAGTGGCCTCCCATGCTCACCTTACGTGCCGGCTCCGTATCCTATCGTCTCAGCGGCGTCTGGTGACCCGCAGCCACCGGCCTCGGCGCCGGGTCGGGTCAAGTCAGGTGTGTCTCATTCTCCGCCCGTTCCACGCCACAATACCTGCGCTGCCGCCCCTGGGTCTCTCAAGGTGACCTACATGGGAGCTGCATGGGGTCAGAGAAAGTGGCACCGCTGCGCCGCCCAACGGAGAGCGAAGGTCACGAACTGGGCGTTTGTCGGCGCTTGTGTGCGTTCAAGGGTTATTGCTGTCTTACCTTTAATAGCCATTAGCCACGGTTGACTGGTTCGAGTTGGTGGCCCTGGATGGCGCCGGTTTGGCGACTCTGTGTGTGTACTTTTATTACTTATCCTTACTCTGTTGAAGAACGCAAAGCTGTTTTTAATGAAGTGCACGAGTTTAGGTTAGAAACATTTGACACATTGGTATGTGGTAGATGGTTGATCGATCGCCAGTGTAGCGCACAAAAGCTTACCGGTCACTGGTGACTGTTAGCTGAAAATCGAACAGGTATAGACCGCCGTTACTTACATAGTCCGTCATTCGTGGCCTGTTGCTTCCACCGCCGAACGCTGACGTAACCGGCCTCGTTAGCAGCAGCAGCCATTGTGGGTTCCGATAGGGTGATGCAATACCCGTTAGTGGCGGCCCAGGTCTGGGCGCAGACACTGGGCCTCCAAATCGACCCCGGGTCACGGGCTGACGTAACGTGACCAACCGAAGTGGTCCGTCACGGGACGGGGTGTGATCAGAAATACCCGTACGTGATCAGTCACCTGACGGGTGATTTGGGCCGGAGCGGTTCTGTTTGAGATTCGCTTGTGTCTGGCATGGAGCGACACTGATATGTTCTCGTGAGAGCGCATCATTTTGAGTTATAGTCCTTCCTTCTCCATTGTTACTCTTAGTCGTATGCCCCCACTTTCTCTCGAAAGCTGAGGTATCATGCGTCGTCCCCCAAAGCGGCAGCTGCCGCCGCAGCAGTTTTCTCAGCAGTCGTCGATCAGTTTTGCTGAACGACTGAACTGCTGACGGCAGGCGCCGCGGCCGTCCCAGCGGGTTTATTTGTTCCGCCGTTATCTGAGCATGCACTAATACACGTCTCTCGGTGCGGGACGTGACTGAGGTCACAATATTCCGCCCCGGTGTGACTACAGTAGTCCTGTAACCGCCGCATGCCCTTCATACAGACACCGGCGTTCCCTGGCCCCTGCTGATGGAACGACAAACATGTGGTGTCTGCAGCTGGTGGGAGGGTGGCAACACTCTTAGATGTTTATTTATTGGCAATATTTTGCCGTGACAGGCCGGATGGGTGTTGCATGCCAAAAGTGATTGATGAATGGCCGTTATTCACTCCCACTGCCCTGGTTGGGCTGGCTGGCGATAGCTGAGCAATTTCGATGCAGAGTAGTGAGTACCCGTATTTCACTCGCCCTTCCGGCGCCGGTTGAAACTGTGTGACCAGTGCGGCTCACCCCAGTCCGTGATCGCTTGCGCTGTTGTCACCGCGTCCGTTCAAACCTCCCCGCCTTACTGTGATCCTCGGTGTAGCTGCTTCAGTGGCTTCCACCCGGTCGAGCGTGTCTGTTGGGTCCGCTACCCTCCTCCGTCCTCCAGCACCGGCCGCAATCCTCCTCCGCGTCCTCCAGCCCCCGGGCCACCTGACAGCGGTCGTTTCAAGATCGGACGGTACCACAACCTTCCAACCTCCTTCAGCCCCCGGGCCGCCGGACAGCGGTCGTACCAAGATCGGACGGTACCGGCGGCGGCGGCCGGCGGATACGGACGGCGGCGCGCTATTACGAAATCCGTCCGGGCCCACTGCCGGGCTTCCGATGCCGTCACGCCGGGGTTTCCGTGGCTGGGTAGGATGGAGGGGAGGGAGGGGAGAAGACGCACAATCTGTCTGGATCTGAAGGAGAGGAACACGCTCGTCATGCATGCGTAGATTGAGTTCCTTACAAATTTGACTCGACGAAAATCTAAGGTGTGTGGCGTGTGCTCAGATATGTATCTCGTGTTCTATCAGTCTTCATAGATCGATGCTTAGATTACTTCTTTGCGTGAGATGTGGACATCGATATTGAACTATGTTGTCCAAAACGTCCATGGCTGCCGTCTGCCATACACCTTCCCCGTTTATGATCGGTCATATGCTTCGCAGTGCTGCACCTTAGTTGCAGAAATATTGTGTCCGATATGCGTTGTGTGGTTGGTTTCCGCTGTCTGAATCTATTGACTATGACTTTTTTATAACGGAACAACGCGCACACCAACATAAGAAACAAAACACTTCGTGCCGGTGCGTTGTTACTCTGCCTCGCGTCGATGATAGGAGCATTTGTTAGATTTCTTGTGTTGGGCTGTGCCAACATTTTTATCACTCGCTTGCGGCCTTGTTGAACGGTGTCAATAGTACCTACCTGTAGGCTTTCATCTCGGTTTGAGCGATCAAAACAAAGCGGCGGAAGATCTTCTTCACTGATAAGTGATAACACTTCTATCACGCACGCTCAGAAGATAGCATTGTCAGCACGACTGGCTTCCGACCGTGCCTCCTCTATCTCTCTGTTTATGATTGTTGTGTGTCTCATACCGAGCCCAAGGTATCTCCGTGCACGATACCTGCCGAGCCCTGGCCGGGCCGAGGTCAACAAACACTTTCTCCGGGAATAATGGCCGCCTGACCTTGGTGTGTTTGTGTGTCTGTCTGCGGGCCTGTGCACGCCAGGCGCGAACGGAGCTCCATTGGTTTTCCTTCCTTAGACAGGATATCCAAAATAGGCATGGCCGGGCTATGGAGTTACGTAAAACGCAGTTGGATCGTGCCCGCCACCACTGACAACAGGAAGTATTTTCAAGGACTTAATTTAGCCATCAAGTCGTGTGTGTTTTTTTCATATGCGAACCGAAATGCGGACACCAAATTCTTAAGCCGCGACTGGGAGGTGTTTTCTTTCGATCGTCTTGCCCTCACTGTTTCTTACACTAGCCTGTGTCATTCATCATTCGGGATGTGCCTCTATCTCACCACACACTTCCCCCCTGTTTCTCCAGGCTGGGTTCGGGCTGGCGATGGCCTTCTTCAGCGACCCGGGTCTTCAGCTGGGTCTGTTCCTCACCGGCTGCAGCCCGGGCGGCGGCGCCTCCAACATCTGGACCTACCTCTTCAACGGCAACATCAACCTGTCGGTGACGATGACGTTTGTCAGCGCGCTGGTGGCCTTCGGTGAGTGGCGGCAAGATGAGGACTTGAGGAGGGCATTGACGTGAAGGTAGTGACTCCTGGGAGGCGCAGGGTTGGAGAGGGGGTTCTTAGCAGCGCGCTGGTGGCCTTCGGTGAGTGGCGGCAAGATGGTGAGGGCAGTGGCGTGAAGTTTGTGACACCTGCGGGGGGGGGGGGCAGGGGGAGCAGGATGGGGGACAGTGACGCTTGGGACCGCTTTTTGATGGGGGATGGGAGTGGTAGGAACGGCGGAGTTTCCCGGTGCTCTGTACAGCTGTAAGGGTACTACCGGCTGGGGTTATGACCTCGTGTCCGACAATCCCCGTGTTCGACATTCCCCGAGGCTGCGTGGACTGTGCTGGCGTGCACGTCTGTGCTGGCGTGCACACTGCACAGGGCTCCACTTGCCTCTGACAGGTGATATTAAAAGGTCAGCGACAGCGTTGACAGATATATCACCGGATTCCGTGAAAGGTCGATTCGTAGGAGTTAAATCCGTCAGTATTGATCGGTTGAAAAGCAGGTGGATTTGTGCTCAGCTCGATTGGGTATTAAATAACTACATTAACGAGGCTTCCACAAACTGCCTTGATGGATCAAATGGGGCCCGATTTGCTTGTTGATTATTTCATTGACTGGAGCAGTTGACGGAACTTCGGAGCTTATTTAATCGTAAACGATCTATTTCGACTGAGTTCGAACGGTCCACAATTCTTGATTGCCCGAACCCACTTCTGAGTGCGTTCTGATGCTGAATGAACTCATCGAACTCCAAATGAGGTTCAATCCTCGACTGTGCGAACTAATTAACGAACATAATGGTACGGTAACACGCAAATCCTTGGATGGCATTAGAGATGTTCATCTTCACTTGCAATCAATTTGCCCGCAATGCATCCCAATTATGCTTGAAACATGTTTGTTTCGAACTTCAGTAAACACATTTGCAATAATGGTTCTCGGCAATGATTAATTTCCCTACCTATCATTTAGCGTTGGCCCTAGCGTTGGCGTTGGCCCTGGCGTTAGAGTGCGGTCCCAGTGCTGCCACTCCTCTGATTTGCTCTGATCGCGTCTGTAACTGCGCCGAGCCGAGGCAGCGCTTTTACTGTGTCCCCGGAGACACGGCCTACCGGCCATCTCATTTGAGGTACAGAGTACCGATACTGTTGTCGAGCCTACACTGATGGATTGGTCTGCTATATTCGTCGGACGCTGAGTGATTCAATTCATTGCGCATCTGCCCCCGTAGGCTGGCTAAATCGGTGGTACAGTGGCCTCGTTGGATTAACTGTGATTGATGACCTGTATGACCTTAGTAGGTACTACCTGTGTGAGGTATCATTGTCGGATTGTGTGCCTGGCCGGTGCCTAGTGTCTACTGTTTGTGAGTGTCTGTGGTCGTGTAACGTATATCTAAACTACACTCGATCTATGAATGGAACTACCTGTTACAATGCGCCGACTGTCTGCACTGTAACTGGAACTGCCTGTATAAATGCGCCCCACCAGCCATCACCCGCCGTGTGTGACCCCGCCGCTCTGTTTTCAGGCGCTGTGCCGGCGTGGGCGTACAGTCTGGGTCGTTTCATCACGGACGATACGTCCGTGGTGATCCCGTACAGGAACATCCTGACCATTCTGGTATCGCTGCTGGTACCCTGCGGCATCGGACTGCTCATCAACCGCTTCCTACCCAAGGTCAGAGAGGCGGGAGAGTAAGAGAGAGGGTGAATAGGTGTCAGAGAAGCTGGGGATAGGTCAGAACGGTGGAGAGCTCCAAAGTCTTCCTGTTCAAGGTCAGAGGGACCTGGGGGTGGAGAGGTGTAGGGAGGTGGACCAGGTGTCAGGGAGGAGAGAGGCGGGCGCGATGTTCGAAGAGATGACATTGCGGATGAAGAGACAGGGCGGACAGATTGACAGCTCCCTTATATGAGAGACATGGTTGAAGGTGGGGAGACGGACAGATGGTCAGAGAGATATGCCGGGCGAGGAGATAGTCGAACAAAGCATTGGACATGACATTGAGACAGTCAGACGAAAAGATGCACGGAATATGGCACATAAGATGGCGCAGTTGTCTCCGACCATTGTTTTCCATGTTTGGTCTGCGTTGGTGTTCATTGTACTTTGGCTGCCTAGTGATTACTGATGACGACTTTAGGACACCATTTTACACTAATTTTGGTAAAACGTGTCTTCCTATGTTGGCAACGCCTGACCTAACCCATACTGATGTTTGCAGGTGGCTGATATCATGCGGCGCGCGCTGAAGCCGTGGTCCGTCATCCTCTTCATCTTCATCGTGGCGTTCGGCATCTACACCAACATGTACATCTGGCGCCTGCTGACCTGGAAGGTAGGACTGACGCCTGGTGCTAATTGGCCAATGGTCATCCGCTCCCCCCCCCCCCTACGACTCTTTATCAGTCGTGCTTCAACGGACGCAACATGCCTTTACCTCAGCAAGGATATTTTGTTACGTGCAGTGAGCAGAATATCATTTCTCAAGCAGAGCAGTACCTACCATTGCTGGATCATTCGATAGCTGCCTCGTCATCTCAAGTGTTTGCTTTCCAGAATAATGTGATAACGGCTAGCCACAGTTGCAATAAACATTTTCTTATTTTTCTGCTCGATAACATTTTGTTGCATTGCAATCTTCCCGTTTTGTTCGGTCACCACCGCGCCGAGCCTGCCTCGCTCCCGCCCGCACCCCTGGCGGCGCTGCGGTGAGTGACCAGTACCCGGTATGTCCGCCAGCTGGTGCTGGTGTCGGCGGTGCTGCCGATAATCGGTTTCCTGGGCGGCGGCCTGGCGGCCTGGGCCACCGGCCGCTCCTTGGAGGACGCTATCGCCATCAGCATCGAGACGGGCATCCAGAACACGGGCGTCACCATCTTCATGCTGAAGTTCTCCCTGCCGGAGCCATCCAGCGACCTCTCCATCGGTGAGTTACCTTGCGGGAAGGGAGGGAGGCAAGTGGCAGACATTCACCCTTCCATCGGTGAGACACTGCGCGTGTCCGGTGTCGGGGAGGGTGAGTATGGTTGGGGATTCATCTGCTTGTTGGTGGTTCACTCTTCAGTAGAAATAAGGGATAAGTATAGGCATCTTACCACCGTTCCGTGCTTCTATCCTCAGGATACTGAAATCCTTCTCCTCCACGCCGCAACCCCCTCCGGGCTGGACAGGCAACTTTATCTCATGCGGGCTGCTCCCTTGGAGCGGCACCGCTGCTCCCGAGGGAGCGCACCCCGTAGCCGGGTGCAGTGAGTGCCTTGGGGCTGGGTGGCCTGTCCTCTGGACGAGCTCAGCCCCGGCGACTCACTAGAGTGCCTGCCCAGACCAATGTCTCCCCCTATATCCTATCATCCTCCCGGCTCTGAAATGGTCTCATTGGACCGAAAGGGCCTAACCCAACAAAACAAAGGCATCTTCAGTAGGTAAGAAGTCGCTTGGGCAGGGAGGGATTGGGAAGGGCAGGGATCCTCTTGCCCGTCAGTGGGTCGCTCTTGAACGGAGAGAAAAGGCTCTCGCTTTCATCAGTGGGACGCCGCACAGGGTCTTTGTTGAGGAAGGGAGGGGGAGGGACGGAGGGACCTGCCTCTTCATCGGTGAGAGCCGCGTCCCTCACACCCTCGTCACGTCTCTCCCCGCACCCCGCTGACCCTCCCCGCTCCGCTACTGACCCTCACTGCCCCACTAAACCCCCTCCCCCCCACAGTGCCGCTCTGACCCTCTCCACCCCGTCTCTACCCGCAGTGGTGCCGATCGTGGTGGCCACCATGACTCCGGTCCCACTATTCGCTCTGCTGGTGCTGCGCCGACTGCGCACCTGTCTGTGCCCGCCGCCGGCGCCGGAGAAGGCCGCGCCGCCCGCCCACCTGCACGACAGCGAGAGTGGGCGCCACCTGGTGGGAGCCGTCGATGACGACGTCTCCATGTCGGCCACCGTCTGAGCCGCGTCGACAGCGACGCACCCCGAGAGAGAGCCCGAGAGAGGGAGAGAGGAGGCCGGGGTAGTGGCGAGACGACGGTGTCAGCGGGTGTGCTGTCAGAGTATTTAAACAGAGATGTAGTTACGTCGTGTCCGGCTGTTTGTGAACTCGTGAACTCGTAGTGCAACAACGACAAAATAATGTGGTTTATTTTATATTGGTTGTTGGCACAACCCTCACGTCCGAGTCGAATCGTCTGTAGATCGTGTTCAAACAGAATCCTATATTGATGTTCGCTGTTAGTCTGTGAGCGTACATCGAATGTCTATCCGGCCGCTGAGCTCTTAGTCCCGTGATCGCTGCAGGCGCTGGATGGTGCAATAGCACTTTTTCTCGCACTAGAAGGCAGAAGCACGGCTGTTATTTCTAGCGTCAACGTGTCTTCAATGTGCGTGTGCGCTTCACATCGCCAGCTAGCAGGTCTCGCGGATCTACCACTCATGGTGTTAAGTTCCGGTCTTCCCTGCTCCGCCCTGTGTCCGTCAGTCACTCATCTGCGGCTGTTCTTAAGCGATGGCCCGCCTGCGTTCATTGTGTTACGTATTTTCAGCACAGCCTGCCCGTTCGATTTACTTCCCTTCCGCTGTAATTTATATTCTGTTGTTCTTGTGTATCATCCGTACCGCACAGCGGGCACTGGCGCATTGGTTAACGTTCGCCCCCTGTTCGGTCCGTGAGCACCTCTCAGCCTGTGCACTGCAGCTCACAGAACAGTCATCCCGTCCCAGCGTCGGCCGCTGAATTCGAGACATCATATGAGAAACACGGACCAAACGTTCAGGTGGCAAACATGTAACAGAACTGAAATACAAGCTTTAGTAGTTACCTATGGTTTGCAGAGAACGGGGGACGAGCAGGACCGAGGACGTATGACGGGGGGATACTCTGATAAAGGCATCAGTGAAGAGCTGGGACGCTGCTTTTTTATTGATTTTGGTTGAGTACGTGCTAGTTCAGATGGCTGAGCGCTGAGCGCAACTTGCAGGGTGAGACGATGAAGGACACAACGTTTTCGGGCGTAATTACCTGGAACACCTTACACCAGGCAATGTGCCAGCGCATACACGGCTTGCAGGTGGCATGGCTCATTCTGAAAATAATATAGATAGACCAAATCTGAAATCATCATTTGAAACTACAGCTTTTGTATGACACAAAAGCTGCAGGCGACAGAGGGCTGTGCTACCCATCCGGCGACCAATGCACAGCGCAAGGCCATCTCTAAAAGATAGAACACGATGCATGCACAGCGGCAGGCAGTGCCACCTATATACTCTGGTGCCACCCATGCTTGCACCCATGCAAGTCGGTTTGGGGGTGGCGTCATCTTGCGGTGAGGCAGGAGGCTGCTGCTTAAAATGGTACGTTCAAGAATAATGTTATCATTAGAAGACTTTATCAGACCAGTAAGCCTTTTTATCTATTTTTTTTTAGGATAAATCCATCTTATGTCGTTAATAGTCGTATAATCTTACGTAAATTGTTTGTGTGGGGACGAAATATCATCAAACTGTAAAGAGAAACTTGTAGCAGAAGGTAAATCCTCTACCAGCTCCTTCATATGGTATCTCTTTTGATTGGAATATGGCAGCTGATAAACATCAACAGGTAGCAGCGGTGCTGTCATGGCGCGCTTGTGGTAGATGAGTGTAAACTGTAAAAGTGAATATTTTTGGCCAAAATCATGGCAGAACAGGAAGTGAAAGGTGCAAAAACAGTGCGAAATTTCTTCTCCAGGAAAAGAAGCACATCAGAACCAAACGTCCATAAGGATACGGCTGCGAAGAGGGATGACATAGAAGGTAAGTAAATAATGCGCAATTTCAATTTGTCTGCGATGATCCTAATGGCATTTATTTATATTTTGTGCATTTTCGTAAGGGATTCACACCTCCTCTTATTTTATAATCCTTATTTACTTCTCATTCTTTTGGATGATGCTGGACAAGTTCAAGTTGTAATGAATTAGCACGTTCATCTATGAGTTGTCAAGAATGGATACAATTCTATGTAATCTTTTGTTTAATGAAATTACTTTTGTTGAAGAGATATATGTAACTTAACTATAAAAGTTAAAAAAATTATGTGGCCTGTATTTTAACTTAAACTTTGGGACGCTTGATTCAATTGCGTTTGGTTTCCAACTGCGACAAAACCAGAATTTATGGAATGTTGATTTAAGATGTTGTTGATAATGCTTATGTACTGATTATTCTGTCACTCCAGGTCAAGTGTACTATCATTTTGTGGTATAGCCAAGAAGTATATTGAAATATTAATTGACAGATAGGTAGCGCATTAGCTTATCCAGTATCCGCCAAAAGACAAAAATGAGTCATATCTATCCATCTATCCAGCTGTTCGGATTGTTGTCAGTAACAGTGTCAGCTGATATCTGAGCTCTAATGAGTCATAAGTTTGACATCCTTCTTACATTTCGATGCATCCAATATCCACTCACTGATACTTTTCCTGTCTCCCAATTTATGCTCTTTTTGTGTTTGATAATGCATCAAACTGTGTGTGTGCTGCACTCATGAGCCAATGAGGCAGGTGTGCGCCCACGATGCCTCACGTGTCCGGCCGACGTGGGTCGCGGACACCACTATATCCTGCCCACCGCTCCTAGCGCTGCCGCGCGCCCCGCTGCCCTATTGGACGCGGCGTTGGACTGGACACGCCACTGTGGACAGTGGACACTGGATATGCCACTGTGGGCAGTGGAACTGGACACCGCTCTCGGCACTGTGCAACGCGTGCTGGACGGACCCCGGTCGGCGGAGTCAGCAGGGGCGTCCAGCGCCGCCGGCACCTTCATATCGCCGGCGGACCAGACCGCGGAGTTGGCCGCGCTCTGTGGCAGCCATTTCCCGAAACGTGTGGGCGTCTGCGGATTTGGCGGCTCGCTGAGCGGCGCTGACGGCATTGCGCTGGTCATGGAGGCGTGCATGCCTGCGCATTAGGTGCAAGCTGCAGCCGCTGACGCCGCGCCCCGTGGGCAGCTTAGCGTCGTGTCGCAACTCGCAGCGCAGTTGCACCCCGTTCGCGGTGTTCCGGTGTGGTGGTGGTGTTGGTGTTGTTTCGGTTAGCTGCCACCTGGTGTTGGTCTCGCTGAGACTAGGCGGGCCCTAGATTTTGTCCTGCTCCTGCAACAGGAGGCGCCCGGTATCGGCCGTACTCCATATCTGTTATCAGCCCTGGTATCAGTCCAAATTCTGGTATCAACCCTGCTCTGGACTGGTATTGGTCTTGTTCTTAAAGGGCGCTCGATATCGGTCTATTCTCAGTCTTGCTCTGAGACGGTGGTGCCTGGTATCGGTCTTGCTCCTGTATCAGGTGGCGCCTGGTATCGGCCCTGCTGTTGTATCAGGTAGCGCCTGTTTCCGGTCCTGCTCCGGTATCAGGAGGCGCTCGAAGTCGGTGGGTGTCCCTCTGTCCGGCTCTGAAGTGACCGGATCCGCTTCTGTTCCCCCTCGGCGGAGCCGCGTCATCCGTCAAGTTTGGCCTCCAACTTTGTTCAACTTCAGCTGGTAAGGCTGCGCCCTCGTGTCTGATCCACAAAATGTAATTACCTAGGTACATGACGTCATGCAGTTTATGTGCTCGCCCTATTTTGGAACGTCCTAATGTCTGCGTGCTGTGGTCTGCCTGCTTACAAATGTATCAGTGGGGCAATATACCTATCTGATACGGGTATGACATTTCAGTCCACTTCGCTACTGTTCGGTGACGATAAATCAGCTCATTGGGCAGCGGTAGTGGGCACTTACTGTTTTCAATCACCAGCATTCCCTTTTCGGTACCTACCTGTGTTAGATTTTCCTTTGATGTCAGCAGCTGCGCGCGCACTGCAATCATTGTGTTCAAACTCAAATTCCCAGCTAATGTCTACGTCGCATGTCAGCATACTAATGCTGGTCATTTTTAACATTTGTCAGCGGCGAATTGATTTTAATTTATTCCGACTACCCTTTTACTGCCTGAACATGACTGATTTTATAATGCTGCTAATGTGTTACTTAGTTTCCGCTTACCATGTCTTGGCATTTTTGGTATCTATTTTCAGAATCGAACCAATCAACTTAAAAAGAATTTAGGGTATCTTTGTATAGTTATTTTGACTACATTCGCGATACAATTCCACCTCTTCTACCTCTTCCGCCCACTCAAATATCACTACATGAGCTCACAGGCACTTAAGTAAGTTCCACACACTCTACCTGCCCTTCTATGAGTTCTGCAATTGACTGGCTATCCTGTCCTGCAGTTCACAAAGTGTCACTCGGTCTCCTTTGTTCCCCGCCGATCGCTCACGGCCCGACGTAGTCCCCGTCTCCGCCGCCCTCCGGTGTGCCGTCTCGCCGGGGGCCGTTCGTCCCGCCGCCGCCGCCGCCGCCGGCTATATGCGGTGGCTGTGTGATCCCGTTATTTATGCGCGCGCCACCGGCGGCTCCTTTATTGCCGCCGGCCGTCACGGCGTCTTCATCGGCCCCGCTGAGGAGGCGGCTCGGCTCACGGCTCCCCTCCTCCGCCGCTCTCTCCGTCTCCCCCCGCGCTCTGTCCGTCGGCAGCGCGCCGACGCCGTCTTTATCTCGCGGTGGCCGGCGCATTAACCCGGCAGGCGGTGGGCCTACCAGCCACCTTCCGCGCGGTGGGGGGGGGGGGGCACTTTTTTGCCCCCCCCCCGTATCTCCGAAACTACTGGACGGATCCGGAAAATTCAAACGGCGTTCGATAGCCCTGTCAAATTTGTCGAGGGAAACCAAATTTCATTGACCTCGGGGTCACCGATGACGTCACAGGTCAGGTCAAAGATAAAATGTTTCACCGTTCACGGGGCTTCTAGGGAAAGCGCTATAACACCGAGTAAAACGCATTTTGTCGAAAATCAGCGATAAGGCGCCAGTTGTCTAGTACATATGTTGCTATTAGAGGTCACTGGTCATACCAGGTCAGGTCACAGGTCAGGTCACCAAGGGTCACCAAGGGTCACCACATGAGCCCAACTTTACTAAGGTTATGCGATGCATGTTTTATGGCCAGTTTTTCATTTCCAACTCAATGGTGTTGGTTATAAGACCATCAGGTACGGTTTAGGTCACTTTCTGGTGGAGGTCAGGTCAAGGTCAGGTCAAAAAAGGTCAAATTTCAAAGTTGATATTTTTGCATAAAATGGGTATCGATTCGATGCAGCTCGTCACGGGGAGTCTAATGGTGGTCTTTGTTTTGCGGTACGAGGTCTAGAATTGCTAAAAATTGAGTTTGAAAATTTGACGTCATCAATTTTGAACAGTTTTTTTCGCTATAACTTGGCCAAAAAAAGAGGTATCGATCTCAAATTTGGTATGTAGATAGAAGGCGGTAGGGGCTATCACATATATTCCGGTTTTTTCGAAATTCAAAAAACTTTTTGGATTTTTTGGCTATTATATTCAAAAAATCTACTTTTTAATTTTTGGGGGTCAAAATCCAAAAAAATCGAAAAACCGAGATAGCTGTTTTGTAGCCCTGTCAATTTCACACCTTTTATGTCTAAAACATTTTTCTGTATCTCTAAAGCTGTAGGCCTGACAGCTCTTCCCGCGAAACCTTTTTTTGGGTCGAAAATGGCAAAAATGACGTCACTCTGACGTCATTAGCGGCCAACCTATCGTAGCCTTTGGAAAAATTTTTGGTCACCATGTGCGCTAGCTGCTCCCGGGAGGGTACTGAAAGTTTGGTGACGATCGGCGCAGCGGTTCTCGAGATATATCGAAAAAACTAAAGGGGGGGCAAAAAATTGCCCCCCCCCCACCGCCTGGAAGGTTAATTACCCGCGTCTCTCG